ACGGCGCGGTTACGGTCGCGAAGGGTTCGGCAAGGGTGATTCCATCGCGGGGCGCACTCAGCCGCATTCGAGTACATGACGCTGCACCTGCTACAGCCACGGAGGAGAGGGGTGGGGTTAGGAGGGGGGGGGGGCAGGAGACCCGAGCAGGGGCGGTAGACGGACCTTCCTTAACCAGGCTGATCTGAGACTTGCGTACGGGGGAGACCAAGGCGCCTGTGAGGTAGGCACGCCCGTAGAACAAGCGTGCAGTGCGGGGTTGCCTATCCCTCGCATTGCAGGCGCCAGGTGCAGCAGCGATCCATTGCCTGTACTCGCCTGCTTTAATACTTGTTTTGCACCTCCCAGTTGGACGAGGCAATTCCTCGCATTAATGAGGACAAGATGTACTGCTTCACGCCTGATAGGCTACTAGAATGAAACAAGTGCGTTAGGCCAGCTCCACGATTCAGCGCGTATGAACGTAAAATTTTCTGTGAGCAAACTGCTTATGTTCCTCTATGTGCCTCTTTAACATATAGGGGATGATAAGCGCAAGGCCCCCCCCCCCTCCTTTCATTTCACACCATCGCTCACAAGTGTGCGAATATCGCATTTCTGCAGGTTCGCGAATAAATGTACGGGTCTTGTAGATGCACGACAAAACAATCGCACACTTTCAAGTGTGTGAATCGGCCTCTCACACCTGCAAGTGTATGGATGTTTTGCCGCACATGTAGAGGAGTGTGCATTTATTCGGTCAGTTGTGTTTTTCGTGTTGGCGTGTGGCTGGACAGCTAAACGGCCTACGGCCTGAATAAGAGTTAGGGGTTGTTCGACCCATCTGGTACCAAGCTTAGGGGTACCTAACCTGGTTAAGGGCTGAAGTGACCTGGAGGGAGGGAGGGGGGGGGGGATTTAGATTGCACCATGTACTTGTCCTCAAAAGTTACCCTTTAGCCAGATTTCGCATGGAGAAGGGTTGCTGGACAGTATATCTAGTTTTGCTGGTCGTCGTCTATAACAACCCTTAACAGTAAGGGATGAAACACAAAGTGCGTACCAGGGGGTTGGGGGGGGGGGGTCGGTCGTAAGTGACGCCTTTTACCGTGTCCTTTCACTCCAGCAACGTCTTCTCGTGCATCGAGCTGATACCGGGAAACGTGGGTTTCGCTGCGTTCTTTAGCGCGCGCCTCGGAGATAGGCAGCCCATTAGACGCGGGAAATTTCCCTGCCATTGGCTGTGC